AAAATTTTTTTTAAATATTCTACTGAACAGCCCATGTATTTGAAGTTTTCTTACTCTGGGTCATAGTCATGCAGACTATTTCCAAGCACCAGGATTGTTTCTTCTGCTCCTTCTGCGGGGTTCTTCTTCTGGCCTAGGGGGCTGGAAGGTGATCTCTTTAGGTTCTGTGTGATTCTCCTCTCTGTGCAGTGTTGTTCTTTCTAGTACTCTGTACTGCAACTCTGTTTTCATCACCCACAAATTTCAACTGTCTTCTCAACTCAGTGTCTGATTAGGCTAAATTCAAGTTTCCTCTCAGATTTTGCATCTTTTAAGTTTTTTAGCTAAGACACAGAAAACTGGAGCAATCATAGAACTCACTTCAGCCCCTTCCCATTGTCACAGTAATATATAGGTTTTCAGGTGTGCACTACCACCTCTGGCTTCCTTTTTTTTTTTAAAAACAAAACAAAACATTTTCTCCAAATTTCTTTTTTTCTTGTTCTTTTCTTTCTTTTAATGGTCTTTTTGACACAGGGTCTCGCTATGCAGTTCAGGCTGGCCTTGATGAGCTCACTTTGTAGCTCAGGCTGGCCTCAGACTCCCTCCTGCCTCTGCTTCCTCAGTGCTGGTATTGCAGGTGTGTGCCACCTCGCCTAGTTTAACTATTTTTCATTGTACACAAATTCTGCAACAGAAAGGACTGTTTTTAAAACATACACTCTGAAGTTTGATACTTGGCCTCATTTTCTTTATTGTGATTAAACTGAAATTTTGAACATAGTGAATTTTGGTTCAAAATGGAAGAAAACTCATTCAAAATCATAATGGCAGTTTTCAGAAAGACCAAATTGTATAATGTATTTTGTAATGGAAAGGTAAATTTTACAAAGACTCAATTAGGATTTCAGAAATGATGGATTGAAAAAAAGCCGGAGGGGATACTGTGGGTATTTGTTGAGGTTTACTGATGAACAGTACATTTCTGGATCCATGGCTAAGTAAATAGTAGCCATTTTATTGACTAATGAAAAGACAAAGGGCCAGCAAGAGAGCTCAGCAGACTTAAGCGCCTGCTTAACAAGCACAGGGGCCGGTTGGTGGGGGAGGGGATCCCCGATCTGGGCACCATGTGCCTGGACGGCCCTGTCCCTGGGCACACTGAGTCTGGGTGTGGTGGTGCACGCCTGTAATCCCA